GCTCGGTCAATACGGCAAGGCCTCAGTTTGAGATTTTCCCGTAACGACCTCACTCTCGGTTATTAAGTAGTTAATAAAAACTATAAAGGTCCTAGAATAGTGCCATGAGGGACACCACATTTCACATTTTAAGCGCTAACTAATATCGTGTAAGCTAATAACGAAAACTGACTTCTAATGCGCCTTATCTCGAAAACGAGCACGGTGGCCCCCATTCTTGCGGCCTTTTTGACAAAAATTGGTCTTTACCTTGTTAAAAAATATGAGGCCAGTTCAAAGTGGCTGCTCTCATGAGACCAGATGAAAATACAACTTTAAGAACAATGTCTTATTTCTATTTTTGGCTGATCAGATCTTTTACAGATCGTTTGTGGTCCCTTGCGTCATGTGTATTTAACTTTATAATAGCCAAACTAAAAATACTGATATACTAAAACAAACTATTTAGTCGGTTCCATGTAGACTACCAGTAGTCTCTCTTTCGCTCAGTCCGTCGTGCGTGACGCAAAAGAGGGACTATTCGTAGTCTAGTTCTGACGCTTTACAATCGACAAAAAGGTACGTGATAAGTATTTCATTACCCTCAGAATACAGACTTTTCACCAAAGGTAATCTCAGATCCACACACTGACCAAGATGTAAGGAAACACAAATGACGCGATAAAATACATTTCCCTTTTGTACCAAGTTAGAGAGCTGTTATGATCTTTTAAACATTTGACATTGATAAGCAGGAAGGAGTGGCTTATTTGTCTTCTTAATGATGATGGGCAGCAGTTACTTGTATTCCAATGTAATCTTGTGGGTCACTGCCCCCCGGGGAGTATTCCCTATAATGGCCTACACAAAGAAGCTCCGCCCAAGAGGGCTCCCTTTTTAAGAGACAGGTATTTAAAAGGGTAAGGATTTTACAAGTTAAGGTATATGAATCAGTAGGGAAATCTGTCATTTAAGTCCCAAGTGATCATGAACTAAATATAAAATATTTGCTTTTTTGGTTAACATCCCCACCGGTAATGCTTGATGTGCTCCGGTAATTTTGTTTATTATCGTCGTTCCAAGGGTTTAGAAAAGGGATGCAGTGTTCTTAAGAAGGCTTGTGAAAGGAGTACCTTCTTTTCAATAAAAGGTATGCGAAAGGGGTCCTTTTCTGTCAAAATGGTATACAAAAAGGGAGGGGGTTGGGCTTTTGGGCCGTGCCTCCCTGGCTAAAACTTTGTTCCCCCAGGGATCACTGCATAAATCTTCTGCTTGCCAATATAGAAATATAAGGTATGCTTGTTCGTATATTTATGTATGAGAAGGTACTTGGAAAGCATTGGAACAAGACTTCTTTCTCATATTTTTATACCGCACGAAGTTATTTTTGTTGAAATCGATACTTGGTAGTTGAACAATTTCCCCACGGTTCCGCTCTGACCGAAAGGTCCGCTCGGCGAACTAAAGTTCGACGTAAACCAAAGCTCAGCAAAGACCCACCAATCAAAACCAAGGACGAGATATACTCAGTAAACATTACCCTGATTCTCAGACGTCCGAAGTCGTTTTCGGCCCCTCCAAGTTCGCTTCCCCTCTCTTCGGGGAAGTGAAGGGGCCGCGAACGACCTCGGACGTGTGAGAATCAGGCTAAGTAAGCCTTTGACATTGAAAAGACAGCAAGTAGTGGCTGTTTGTCTTCTTAATGACAGCGAGCAGCAGTTGCTTGTGTTTTTGTTTGCACTCTTATGGGTCACTGTACGAAGCTTCCGCTTGCCAATACTGAGTAGTGTGTTTTTTTGTATACTTATGTCTGAGAAAGTACTTTACTTTTCAAACCGTTAGAGTCACGTTTGTCCCTAGTATGTAACCTATTACTACATCCGCTGAAGGTTATGTTTTCTTCTATGAATGAATGGATAACTTGTTGCTTTCTCGAAACGTGATGCGATGCGGTATGCGAAGGAAGTCCATTTGTGACCTGTGTCTTGCTGAAGTCAAGTACAGACGCATGCAAGCATTTGACTACAATTCAGCCTTGAACTGTCCAGTCACTGTCACTGGATTCACTTGACGATAAGTTTCATGACCACTGTATGACTTAAAAAATTGTGTACTAAATAATAACAATATATTAAACAAGTCGGAAATTCTAGCAATTAAATAATAGCTACAATTGTAGGTTTGTCAATGGTTCATTCTAAGTTCAAGTTCACGGATTGAGCGTCTGTGAGTAGTTGGTTCGTTCTAAGCTAAGAGCACTTAAGCTCACTGTCCATGTGCTCTTTTCAAGGTCCCTGACTAACCCGTTCCAAAATCGCTCAACAATAACTTTTAGTTTACGCTAACCGCAAATGACGTCTGCGTCTGACTGTGAGCATAATTTTTAACGTAACCAGTGCATAACGCATTACAAATATGAACCTACGATAAAGCACGGAATGCATGCTGGTACGATTGTGCAACTTTTGAACCGTGTGACGGAGGAGATAGCAACAAACTCGATACACATTTATGACTGGTTTGTCACTGGCAGCCCAGTAATGAACCCAAGTGTAAGTAGACCCAAGTTTTCAACGTGGGTCTTCTTGCGGGTTCGCTTCAGTTTGGTCAGGGCTCAACGTGACAACTCAGTGTTGATATGCATATTAGCATCGCTATGTTTATAAGCCGATATTTCGCTTTCCAGCCTTTCAGAGCATAAATGATCTTTACTGACAGCAAGACTCTGATCTAGATCATGGTCTCTTGCTAAAAGAAAATCATCCGTGAAAAGTAATAAACTTAGTCAAAATGAAAGGGAGTGAATAACAACACTAGTTCTTTTATTTTCTCTAGCGTGAACTGATATCGGGGATGGTGATGCGTGGGCGGAGATATAAGATTATTTTTATTCCCGTTTGTGCGCGACCAAAACAACGGTCAAATGAATTAAATGTACTAGTAACTTGAAGTTTTAAAAATGCGTTTAAAAGCAATTAAATCGACTTAAAACTATCCGAAGCAACATTTCCTTCCTCTTGCGAGTACTAGCAAATATATATTTTCCCGTGTAGGAGTGTGTGACTGTACGTGGATGGCTTGAATTGCACAAAATATTTTCAATATCAGTTACATAAAATATTGTATATACTTACGTAAACTACACTGCCTGACTCCACACTGGCTTTCATAAACGCAAAGCGCCTTATTCAACTTAACCACGGAAAACTGACGTGGTGTTCTACTGAGAACCTCCTGAAATAATCTCAGTTTGGCGTTAGTAGTGCGAAAACCGCCGCTGAACCAAATCATCTGCTGTCTCGTCTGTAGTGGCGGATCTAGAGGAGGGGCCCGGGGACCGCCCCTCCCCCTCCCCCACCCCCTCCTATTTTGGGTAAAAAAAGAAAAAAGAAGGAAGGAAGAAAAGCCGGCAGGGCACGCAAAAAACAAACAAACAAAAAACAAAACAAAACCGCCTACCCCCTCCGCCCCCAACCCCCCTCTTAGCTGAAGGTCTGGATCCGCCACCGGTCTGTATACTGTATAACGTTAACGCCTAAACGCAGAGACCACGAGTTGTTTCTCGTTCAGCGCATCAGTGGCTCTTCTCTAAGACGGACATGTTGCGATAAAACTAACGAAAACAAAATAAAATGTAGTTCCTTTGTCTACCGTACGTAACTGGAATACTGTACGTTCATTTTCATAAGAAACTAATACAAACCAACACTATTTCACTGGTTCTCGCTAAGTCACGTGCCCCGCACGAGATTCGATCAGGTGAAGAATAAAATCGATCTCAGGGCAATAGCTTTACAACCACGCAATGTTACATCACAAAAGCTTTAAAATGGCGGGAAATGTTCATTCGTTCTCAGAGTCTGGTGCTGGAACAAAGAACATACACGGTATTTTTTCTTCGATTTAACGCCAGGTCCTGAATAAACGCTGGGTCTCACAGATACATTTGTAATTAAGACCCTCAAAGAATGTATATTTGAGGTGTGGTAAACTTTACGTATAATGGCTGATAAGATATTATTATTAGCTCTCAAAAGATCATGACCATGCCCAGGCCGGCAGAAGGTTGATAAGATTGACCGATGTAATGAATGGGTCCGAGTGGAAAGCTGCCATGCAGCAGAATGGGTTTTATTGAATAGCGCAGATTCCGTCTCTTCTTCTCTGGAGTTTAAGATTTATTGTAACATTTCAATCTAGGAGTCTTGCTCTATCAGCCTTTTTCCGCATTGTTTCTTTTGCTCCGACTCAAAGGAAAAAGATGAATATTTCATTCATTTGAAAGCAAGAATTTAAACTCACGGTGTGCCTAAACATGGATGGTATAAAAAGACAAAGATCTCCAGGTCTTAATTGTCGCGTAAGCGTAACCGTTGAGTATTATTGAATATGGAAAAAAAGCTCTTAAATCTGGGCCGGGTTGTTCAAAGCCCGATTAAGCTAACCCAGGATTAGCGAGAATTTTGATTTGGGTTTTGTAACTCTTCGGTGAGGTTTTCTGTCTATACTGTTTGTCCTTCAGTTTTGAGTTAGACTAAGCCCAAACTACACAAAACGTAAGCAGTAAAAACATTTTTATGAAAGAAAAATTAATTCAATTGTTAACTTTTAATCCTGGATTAGCGTTAACCCAATTTCCGAACACCCGGCCCTGGGGCCCGTTTCTCGAAGGTCCCGAAACGTTTTCGCACCCAGAAAGCCATAGCAAATTAAACTCTCGAACCTTATGATTCCAGAGCTGTTTTATTCCCGTATTCTTAATATGAACAGAGGTTCCCTTCATACAAGAAGTTTCAGGCGTATACACTTCTCCGTTTTTAGATACAGATTAACTAAAAATGGCTTTACGGGCCCGAAAAGTTTCCTGGGCTTTCGAGAAACGGGTCCCTGGTGTCTACCTAATGAACAGATAAAATAGTAAGCTTTGAAAATGGAAAAAAGAAGGTATAATGTCTTTGAGGTACCCTATCATTGTTTCTCGATTAAACGCTCCCGACGTTTATTTGAAACTTGCCTTTTGTGGATCCGGAATTTATTGAGCCTTTGCAGTTTGTTCGAGTTTATTAAAGTTTGTATTCGTGCCAATAAAAACCTCCTGCTACACGCGCGCGCACAACAAGGGGGTGACGTGCTTGCACGTGCAAATGACGCCCAAACCTTTTGTCGCGTCACTTTTAACGAACACAAGCACAGAAAAAAACCGTTGTGTTCTATTTTCATCGGCATTTCGCGCTCAGCGCCTCGTTCAACATGTAGCGCTGAGAGATTTGTTTTTCCCCGCACGAGAATGTCTGCCACGTGGAACAAACAAGTTCAAGTTACTTTCAGTGGAGTTTCACTCGCCAACGAGGAGATAAATATCCAAAAGTTTCCTTTTGTCATAAATCCTCGTTCGCGTCTTTTTCGACACTGGGAAACCGTTAGCTCCATTTTCATATTTTTAACCTGTCTGATTGTCCCTTACCAAGCAAGCTTTGACTCACAAAGTTCAACGCTTTGGGCTTTGGCTTACATTTTTGATGCGCTATATCTCGTGGATGTGTCGCTGAGATTTTTGGTTGGATATTTCAGCAAAGGAACACTCATCACCGACCGATCGCTTATTCGGCGCCGTTATCTCCGTGGCATGTTTATACCGGACTTACTGACCCTTTTACCACTGGATCTGCTGGCTTTTGGAGTTGGCACACATCTCAGATGGCATCAGACATTGACCTTGTTGAGGCTCAACCGTATTCTGAGAGTACTCCGGCTGCTGTCATTTTTCGGTAGGTTGCATACATTTTGTCTTTTAGTCGACATGTTTTAAAGCTGCACGCGTTACATTTCATTTTATTGTGAAATTTATGGCAGAATTCGAGCGAGAGAAACCTCGCTAGTGAAATTGTTAAACCGCAGCGAAACAATTTAGATTGCAAACGCTGTTTGGCTATTTTAATTTTGACAAGAGGCAATCCTTTAGGCATGCAGTCCTTGTAAAGTGTTACATGGAAGGTTGTGAAAAAAATCAGAGCCTGTTAGTTTAACAACTTTGAAATGTATATGTAAGAGCTGCTCATTTTTTACTGGGGTACGAAATGTAGTATATAGTCCCAGTAATATATAACGAGCCTTCTCTTGAAAAGAAATTTCGTGAATTGACCCCCTAACAAAAGAAAACAATAATAATGATAACAACAACAACAACAAAAAAAATAATAATAATAATAGTAATAATAGTAATAATAATAATAATAATAATATAATAATATAGTAAAATTGAATTAATCAAGCTAAACTTAATAAATAAACCAGCAGAGAAAATTGCAGTTTTAAGAGTTGATATTAGCTAGCAAAATTATTATTTATTGTTTACCCAACCCCCTTCCCCTCCTCCCCCACCCCTTCCAAAAAAAAAAAATGAACATATCCCTCAAACAAAATTATTGAAAACAACTTGCGGAAATTAAGCATAACGCGGCAGAAATTTTCAGTTGCGGAAAAATACCGGGGTTTCTTTTAAGTTGGTTTTGTTTCGAGTGAATAAGAAAAGAAATTTAAACTTACAGTAAGAGAAAGACACGATTAACTGCCTGTTTTATTTTTACTCTTTCCGGTCTATTTATTTTCCGTAAGGCAGAGTAGTGATTGTACGGCGTTGAACGGAGCTTGTCTCTTAACGATGTGGCCCGAGATGGACTCTCGGATTGGAATCTCGGATCGTGTACACGTGCCGTACGCGGGTTGAGTTTGTAGCTGGATTTTATACTTCTTCCGAGGTTTCTCTCCGGATTTTTTAGCTCCCATCCGGACCCCGAGTACGGACCACTCCGAAATTTCCAACTTTGGCAACTTTTCAAGCTTTTTGTCACGCCTTAAAACAACGTAAAATGTTAACGTCAACACAGAGTCAAACAATTGAGCAAACCGTTAGTATCGCTCTTTGTGCCAGAAATGTCAAACGTATGCGCAAGCCAGATTTGAACTGAACTTCAACGTAAAAGTTGCTCTCAAAGCAATACCGTAGCAAATAAACAGTAAACACGTCATATGCCGGCCTTCCTGGAAAGACTGTGCCCTCAGTCTCGTACTAAAGACCTAGGGTACAGCTCAATACGGAGCTCCCAGCCGGCAATTAACATATAAATATTTTATTGCAGAAACAAAATCTTTGGACTTTGCTTTTATTTCAGGAGCACGAGAGAACGAACTGGGAACTAATACGCCACTCATCCGGGCATTGAAAGATGCTTCAATCGGTACGATTACGATTCATTTGATGTCATGCGCGTGGTATTCTCTGGCGTGTCCCAATATAGGAGCTGCTGAAACGTCATGTGACGCCGAAAGCTGGGCGGTGAAACTTAAAACAGGTAGATCATGCCATGTAAGCCTAATTTGTTCTGATAATTATTAAGCACAAACAATGAACAAACAACAAACAAATCATGATTAAGCGGCTTGAGAAAACGAATGCGCGAATTTTGGTTGGTCTAGACAAAGAAAAGCCAAATGGATTTCCTGTTAAGGTTGTGACCACTGTGGCAGGGAATGCGGCATTTCGTGAGCCAATAACAAACGGTGTCTGGACAGCTACAGGCCTTCCTTAGGCCGTTATTTCTTAATTTTATTTCATAATTTATGCATCATTAACTTTATCTTTGTAAATTTAGAATAGCTATCGTTTTAAAACTTTTAACCTTTAGCTTTTTAGGTATGCAGGGCCCCTCTGAAAACCACGTAAGTGACGCGGCCGTGGGCTTCCTGTTAAAATATCTTTATTGTAATGGGTACGCTGTACTTGATGCGGAGCAAGGCAGAGCTTTTCGCTTTACATAATAATGTCCGTTAAGAGAGCTTCTACAGCAGAACCAAGGAGCAAGGGCTAGTAGATTACATATATCTAATTAGCCAAGCTGGAAGGCCGTACAATATCAAGGGTAGCCAAGCGCCAAGGACGACATTCTCCCAAAACGGTCCTGAGCGAGCTCGATTGACGATTTATCTATACTACTGTGCGATTGAAATCTTTCTTAAAAAATTCCCACGACCACAGACTGCAAAGACCTAGGGTGCTTTCCATTCAACCGAAAATTTGTAACGGGGACAGACAGTTTGGAAATTTCATGGGAAAGTCTCCAGAAAATCCTGAAATTGTGGAGTTTCCGAAAAGTGAACGTTAAATTAGACGAGAATTACGGAACGTCAGGGGGAAAAGTCCAATGGAACTTAAATTCTCGGCAAGAAACTTCGCAAGGTTGTCCTTTTTTTCCTGAAATTCCATTCGTCACTGGGAATTTCCGGAATTTCAACCGAATTTCTAGTTAAATTCAAGCACGCAGTTCTTATAGACGGCTTATTCACTTTTGAAGTTTGTCAAAAACAAGACACAAGACCTTCTTCTCCAACAGTTATCTCCGATCGAGTAATAACTTGAACTTAAACTTTCTCTACCGTGTTGTTCTTTTTTCTGTTTGTTTTGACGAGCTCGAATTTATTTAAGGAATCGAACTTCCTGACGTTGGAAGGAAATATGTTCTGTCACTGTACTGGGCAACAGCAACTGCTACCTCCACTGGGTAAGTTTTAACAGACAAATTATTCGTACTTTTAATTAATCATTCAGCTATAGCGACAGTAGTGTAAAGCAGGTCACCCACCCGAGCGCCTTCTCGATTTTCACTGGCCTGGCTCGAGCCAAGGTTTGACTCAACAATCTGCTTCCGAAACTCTTAAATAATCATACAAGCTACCATTGGCAACTAATCGATCGACCCGATAACAGCCAGACAGGCAAGTAGGCAGACAGACAGACAGTCAGCCAGTCAGGCAGTCAGACGGTCAGACGGCCAGACAGTCAGACAGTCAGACAGTCAGTCAGAGAGTCAGACATTTAGACAGTCAGACATTTAGACAGTCAGACAGCCAGGCATTCAGACGGTCAGAATTCAGGCGGTCAGACGTTCAGACGGTCAGGAGGTCAGACGGTCAGACAGTCAGACAATCAGACAGACAGACAGACAGGCGCGCAGTTGATCAAATAGACAGAACAACAGATAGACATTTGGAGGCAGATAGACTCTTCGTTATGACTGAAAGCATTAATAACCTGAAACTTGTGCTCCCAGGCTGAACGCGTCCGCCAAAGAGGGTTGTCTCTCTAGCATATCATCAAGATTAAAATTCTATTTTATAATCTCATTAAAAATCCTTATACGATTACAGCTATGGAGATCTGCACGCTGTTACTTTACAAGAAAAATGGTTTTCCATATTTGCCATGTTGGGGGGAATAGCTTTGTTTTTTGGGTTCATTTTGGGTGGAATGGCATCCATGTTGACCAACTTGGATTCACAACGAGCCAGATACATCCATCACCTTGACGTCATCAAGGACCACATGGTATGTTACATAATTATTGGAGGGTTTGAATACGGGGTTGGGATCTCAGTTTTTAGTTACATATCTGTCGACTTTTCAGCTATCAGCTAGCCATTTCTCAGCTTTCAGTATAACTATTGAAGATCTCAGATCTCGGCCATGAGTTAAAAAAGCACCTCATTTTTCGGCTGACATTTAAAATTTTGCTCAATTTTCAGATGAGATGGGAAGTGGTGTGAGGCAGCGCTCGCCTCCCACCAATGTGAACCGGGTCGAGTCCGGCCCGGTGCCATATGTGGGTCGAGTTTACTCCGAGGGTTTTTCTCCGGGTTATCCGGTTTTCCTCCTTCCACAAAAAGACCAAAATCTTCCCAAATTCAAATTCGGCCAGGATACAGGAACTGCGTGAAAACCAACTAAGGTTAATTGATGTGGCTTCCTCTCTTAATATGGTAATTCTGTAATATCAGTTAAACCCCATCCACAACCCATTGAGCTGTGTGTTTCGCAGACGCTAAAATAACAATCACTGGCGCTATATTAATGCTACGGAAGAAATCGCAGTATAGGTTTTGCCTTCCACTAGCGAGTGGTTAATTCTCTAGATATGGTTTCTCATGCAAATTTGATTGTAAAAAGTAATTGATATCACAGCAATAATCCTCGAAACATTGTCAAGCTATCTGGTTTGTTCTGAATAATTTTTTAGAAGAACATCCACATTTATCGGGCAATTGTTTAACAGTTAAACTTGCAAACCCGTGGTTGTTATCGGTGGGATAAAGTTGGCGTTATGCAAACTGGGAACCAACAGCGAGAAGTTTAATAATTCAGCAAGGCTAAATCTCGTACCTCTTTCAATTTGGTTACTGACGAGTCAGAACAAATGTGAAACACGATGGGAATTAGATGGTTTTGTCCTTGATTTCTGCATGTCACTATATTGCCGTTAGACGACGCCTCCTTGGCCAATCAGATTGAGACGTCTATGTCAATAACTAGTGGTTGTGTTATTACTTTGGCAAAAAGTACTCTTATAAACGCCATCTTGTTCACGGCCATGTGAGTTAATTTACGGCACAACTATTTCTATCGATATTTGTCTTTTTCATTGCAGCGTAATATGGAGATATCCCCCGACGTACGTTACAGAGTCTTGGCTTACTACGAATATTTGGTAAATACATAGAGAATAATACATGGGTGCGCGTAGATATGGAATTTCTCTTCGAGTGCTCAACTCGATGACTTGGTTATTCTTCTTTTCTCGGAAATTGTAATTTTTTATGATTAATTGCTAATTGGACTTCGTATCGTCCAAGTCAGTCTGTAATCATACTCATGATAAACAAATCGGAATCCCCCTGCGCGGTCGTCCGTTTTTGTTATCACTCGTATAATTACAGACCGAATTGGACTCCACTCAGTCCTATTACCATTATTATACACTGTACTTAAATTACTAACGAACTGCAGGACAACACTACTTTTATTTCCTTTCTTCTCGAGGTACAGATATAGTAAAGTCCCGCTATAGAAAAGTTAACTTGAACTATTTTTCTCAAACTCATAAATAATTCATTGAATTTAAACAAAGGAAATCATGACCGTGACGGTGTTTGGATGACTAATTTTAGGTCCAGTTCATACGTCGCATTTCTGCCGTGTCGAATTCAATTCAGTTAAGTGAGGCAGAAATGCGACTGTGGATTCATGCGTAGCACTTGTGTCGCACTTAATTCAGAATTTTTATTGTCGGGTATGTCGGCCAGCGAAAAATGTTTTAAACTTAGAGTATTCATTATGGCGGACGAAAATACTGAGCGACGAAGGACTTTAATTTTGCTAAAAATTGTCCGCCAATGGAACGAGAAGGAGAAGGTTGACAACGGAGCAGTATGTGTTGCAATATTTTCAGGTTGCATTGGGTCGAGAATGGTCAAGTTTCTTCTTTTTCTTTGGCGGGAAAACATTTACGCATGCTCAATACATTAACATATTATGTATGCATTAGATTCTACACGGCACAAATTCGACGTCTGAATCGGTGTCGCATTTCTGTCGGATAATGCGACAAGACCAGTCGAACGGGCGGCAGAAATGCGGCAGCCGATTCACACGTCGAATTTCTGTCGAATTTAATTCGTTGAATTGAATTCGAGATGGCAGAAATGCGACGTATGAACTGGGCCTTAATTAGCATAGATTTTTAAGATTTTATTTCTCCGTTTTCTCGATCCTCAGTTTTAGTTTCGATTCAGAAGATACATCAAACATTCTAGACCGTATTTGACCACATCTCCAAACACCTCGAAGTTCGTCAAAAGTTTGGAAATGTGGTCAAACACTGTCTTTCGTGTTTGATACATTACTTTACGAATCAAAAATACAATGCAAATGCACATACAATGGAACCTCCAGTTGCGACCACCTTTGGTAAGCGACCACCTCTCCTCAGCGGCCAGTTTTCCGAAATACCAAAAGTTTTCAAGTCAAATTACTATATTTGGAACCACCTGTTAGCGACCACCTCTCGTAAGCGAGCGCGACCATGCACTCTTAGAGCTAAAAGTTTGACATTTTCTTTTGTTTTTAACCTCCCGTAAGCGACCACTTGACAGAAAATAGAGCGAAAACTGGATTATAGGGTGTAATATTATTGCATTCCTGGGTAGTACCAGATTTTTTCTCGAAATTGACTTTTCACATGAATAAAACATTTAAAAATTTGAAGAAAAAATGCACACACACTGCACTCTATCTCAAATTACCATATGCTAATGACACAAAATTTTGACCCAAAATGGTCTAAGCGCTCGTAAGCGACTACTTAGCATTGACATTTTGGGTGGTCGCTTACGGGAGGTTCAACTGTATTGTGACTATTATTGTACCCAACATAGTATTTATTAGGAATCTCCATTCACAGGTTACATCTGTATGTATATTCATTCCTTTTACCAAAAGTTACTAGTATTTGCGAGATGATTGAAGTAATATATCAAACACGAGAGACAGTGTTTCATCGGGATATCACAAACGCCAAGAAGAGAGTTGAAAACACGATGCGCAGCGAAGTATTTTTGACGAAATTTGAGATGTTTGGATAGCCGATGAAACACTGTTTCGAGAGTTTGATATATCAAAACCTAAGGAGTAAACGGAGAAGTAAAATCGTCAAAATCTATGCTAAATAAGAGCGGCATCCAAACCTCCTTCGCGGTTACGATTTCCTTTGTTCAAACTTGATGAATTAGTAATGAGTTTGAGAACTTTAGTTCCAGCTCTTTACATGTGAAGGCCACTTTACCTTCCCCTAAGGGTTTCAAATCAAGTCTAATTTTTAACAGGCTTTGAGTGGTTTTCCTAATTCTTTTCAGTGGACACATAATCATGGCGTAAGTGGAGTAGGCATGTTCAATGATTTACCCCTGACCCTCCAAGCTGAACTATCTCTTATGATCAACAAAAAGGTTTTGGAGAAGGTATGCGATAAACTCTATACATAATTAACTAGTTCTGAATTTGATTGAACTCACGATACAGAGTACAAGTAGGCCTTGTTTCACCATTCCTTGAACATTGCAGGCTCCTCTGTTCAGAGGTCTTAACCCTGGTTTTAAGCGCATGCTCTCTTTGGTTATACGCCCCGTGTTCTATATGCCAAATCAGATCATAGCGAGCAAGGGAGACATTGGACATCACATGTTCTACATTCACCGCGGCCGAGCAGAGGTTTGTTTGTCTTGATGCTACATCTTTATTTAGTTCACGTTCGAACCTGGGAATAAGTCCAACATAAAGACAGCTGGTGAATGATCAAAAGTTATGCAATACTGGTTCCAGACAGCTCAATCCGTAAACACGCAACAGTGTTTCTTACCTTTACTTTGCTGTTTTCGAGAAAAATTCTTATTAAAAGGTAAAGTCTGCATACGAGCCAAGAAGCCCATCAGACCGGAGCTTATCCCGGTTTCTGTAGCATGAAGCGACTAGGAATATTTCTACTCCCCCCTGGACGGGATGCTAGTCCATCGCAGGGTTACCCCCAGCATTAAGTTCGCCGATACCCATTTATACACCCGGGTGGAGAGAGGCACTGTGAGAGTAAAGTGTCTTGCAACGAACACATCGCAATGTACCCGGCCAGGGCTCGAACCCGGACCGCTTGATCCGGAGACGAGCGCACTAACCATGAGGCCACCGCGTCTCCCCAAAAATTCTTATTACTCTTGGAAAAACAAAACGGGTTGCATTTGGGGGTCGTGAAATCAAAAGCAAAGTTATTATAAGGCCAGTTGCAACAGACGTAACAACACAATGAGTCAATGAGACAGCTGGTAAACGGCTTTATTGTTTAAGGTGGCTCCCTGCAGTATTAATAGTATCTTCACCTGAAGAAGGATGAAGAACTTAGAATGAACCATTTGTTTCATCTTTGGGTTTAAGCCCCTGGCACTCGCAGTGAAGATTAGCAACACACCTGGGGGTTCTTTTTCGTTCAAATGAGTGTATTGCAGACTGTTGTCATGGCAACAATCAATCGTAACGACTTTTTGCAATTTTCCACCTACTTGCTTCTCTTTCTAGAGTTAGTCTCGGTAAAATATCTTTAAACTCGGCAGTTTTATGAAAACGATGTCGGACATTAGTTTAATTAGAAAAAATGAAAAGTTTATTTGGTGGATTCGTAAAAGTCCTTAATCTTCTTACTTTTGATTAAAAAAGAAAAATCCCTCGATAAAATTCGGACAAAAATGACATTGTGAAGTAGGCATCTGTATCATGAAGTATACAAACTTTCGCAAAATTTCACCGAAGGAAACACGAGAAAAACAATCGCTGTTCTTCTTCTTGGCTTCTTTGTGATGTCATAAATTTCGAGACGACCACGCGCACGTGCGTGTCAATGACCCACTAACGGCATTTGCACGTGTAAGTGGGAGAAGAATCGTGTTTAGCTCGTATGTCCTACCTAAAGCTACTTTTTGCAATATTATACATCACACATTTTTAAAGAGGAAAGTTTAGAAGAAGGAATTCTTACGCTATGGACGGCTAGCATCTTGCAAATGAGCAATGATGGCTGCTAAAATTCGACCTTGTTTTTTTGTTGTGTTTTGTTGTTTGGTATTTCCGAAGTGCATATGCGTGCTCTACGAGCTTGTTGCACGACTTAGCTTGTTGGGGAATAACATCCTGGCTCATTATAGATTTAGCGGAATCTTCTTCCCTCTATCTTGGTTATTTGTGTCTGCTCCACAAACAACGCTAAGGACTGCAAATACGTGTGGTAATATATTACCTTGTTTTGCCCCATGCGATGATCGTGACGATCGCCCAAATCAGTTTCTTTGGTTGAAACTCCTGCATACCTCGTACTTTTCTCCTTTAAATCAAGTACAGTAGGGTAGGGTCTTCTATTCGGTTGATAAACATTTCGAAACCAAAAGAGATTCACACAACTTTTGTCATAAACAAATTTTGAAAATGTGGACGCCATGTTTGTTGGTATTTTACTGCATGTTCTCGCGCGCGAATTTTGCGTAGAGTTTTGAGAGCTCGCACCAAAGCGCGTTTTTCGAAATCAGTTTGCGCGCGGTTCAAAAAACTATAGGGAGCCACCTTAAGTCTACATGCGAGCCAAGTGGCTCATCAGGGCTGGTGCAAATCTCCAGTTCCTGTAGCATGAGGCGCCTAAGAGTATTTTTCCTCCTCCCTGGATGGGATGCTAGTTCATTACAGGGTTCCCCCCCTCCCCCCACAGCATTAAGTTAGCCGGTACCCATTTATACACCTGGGTGAAGAGAGGCATTGTGAGAGTTTAGTGTCTTACCCAAGAACACAACAGGCTAGGGTTCGAACCCGGACCGCTCGATCCGGAGGCGAGAGCACTAGCCAATGAGAACTCAGTTCAAATAAACGTGGTCACCGAAATCGCTCTGGCCAGTCATAAAGCACACAGACGGTCCAGTGGAACAATCAAAACCACACGCGATGCACAGGAGAATGTGAACGAGTCGTGTTTAGATCTTGTTTTTACTCCGTTCTGATGAAGACGTGTTCTCTTCAATTCCGGGCTCATTGTGTATGTCATCCAATTTACCAAAGCAAACATGACTCTACAATACTGGCTGGTTACCGTACGTGTATTTAAATGAGAGTTATTTTGATTGATTTATTTTCAACCTACAGATTCTTTGTGAAAATGAAAGCACAGTGTTAGTGACTATGAATGAGGGGAAACTGTTCGGTGAAGTAAGTGCATATTATAAAACACGTGCATTGAAGTCATAACCAAACATCTACAGCCGAGAAGTAATGTGGAAATTTTGCAAATGTGATTTGAACGGTAGCTAGAGTTTAGGGGCTTTGCGGTGTGCCCAGGAGCTTGGGTGTTAGAAAAGGGAAATAGATCTTTGGTACGATTCCTTGTAAGATTAGAGTACGAACTAGTTGATACATAGTAGTCATCCATGTTTTTCTCGGGATTGTTCTTCGGTAGATATATGGGTTATTGACCAAGTGTGAGGTCAAGATGGCTGGATATTGGCCAAGTTCTTTTTTGCGTGTTTATGGACCGAGACGGAGTCGAGGTCCA